TCATATGCATAACTGAAAAACCTCTTACATACACTAGTTAAAACACTTATTGACCTAGAACATAGAACTTTTATTACCAAAACGAATAAAAACACACCATGCTATAGGGCAGGCTATGCCTAATATAAAATAACTTACATAAAGTTTAAATAGGTATACAAAACTGGAAATAAGTTAACGTATAATATAACCAAATAAATAAGAATGACGGTTTATTAGCAAAACAAATAAGAAAGCTTGGAGGCACGGCATACACCTTGATGTCAAATAAAATCAATACATTATACAAAGTTTAAATAAAGTAAAAATCAGCAAACCAATTGTGGAACAATTAAATGAGAAACGAATGTTTAAAAAAAACTTCCAAAATCACCTTAGATAAACGGCAAAGTTGATAAGTGTTTTAACTAGTGTATGTAAGAGGTATTTCAGTAATGCATATGAATGAATTTCACTAAGGTTGATAAGTGTTTTAACTAGTGTTTGTAAGAGGTATTTCAGTAATGCATATGAATGAATTTCACTAAGGTTTATCAATGTTTTTCGTTTCACTTGTGTTTGTAAGAGGCTTTTCAATAATTATGGCCTATACGGCCCCTCATACTTTCCCCTAAGCATAAACAACGCTGATTACACAGATTACGTTCATGCACGCGCTTTCTCCCCCGAACGTAAACAATGCTGATCACGTTGATTACACTCTTGGGTACTCTCCAAAATGGCGGAACTCGGGGGAGAAGAATGGTTGAATAAATTATTTCAGTTTTCTTTGCGCTCATTTGTTTTCTCATAGCTTCGCAAGACTGAAGTTGAGCCACTGATGTCACATGGACTGTTTTACCAATGTCCTTACAACCTTTCTGGACCTGAGAACATTACAGTTGCGTTGCTGACCTATGTAGGGTCTGAGAGCTCTCACATTTCATCAAAAATATCTTAAGTTGTGTTCCAAAGATGAACGAAGTTATTAATGACAGAATTTTCATTTTTGGGTGAACTAACCCTTTAAATGTCACATTTCTAGTCTTCTCTTTTGCTTTCTTTGGAATGGATGCGTTTCATTTGGTAAGATCCTTTTGGGAACTGTTCCATCTAAAATGTAATTGTTATTTCTTGCTTTTGATGAAGTTGATTAGCCTATCCGGCTATTTAGTGATATAATCATTTATAATAAATAGGGACATTTTCCTGTTTTTTGCCCCTTCTCTTTCAGAGTTTCTTGTGAAGCAGTAAAAACAAGAAATATTAGGCAAAGACCTACAGTTGGAACTAAGAATGCTGGGGGCACCTTTGGACAAAGTATCTTTTAGTGTTATTGCCTTTTTATTCCAGATAAAGGAAATCTGGGCTGTCAACATCATTAAAAGCAATGCTAGAAGTAAATGCCCCTCATTTTCAGTACCTCCTTTATAGATTTCCACTTCTCTTTTAGACTTTTGATTACTGTCATTCTTGCCCTTCAGCTCATATATTCAGAACCCTTACACCCCCTTTGCCTGAAACGAAGCATCACCACCATGAAACATTTCACCATAGTGTCCTATAGGTCACATGATGTGAAAATCCTGTTCAGTGTCTTGAACCCTTGTTTAAAAATCAATTTGTTCTTGCAGATTTTGAATGATGCTAAAGCTACCAGACAGGCTCTGAACGAGATTGAGTCACGGCATGATGAGATAATCAAGCTAGAGAAAAGTATTAAAGAGCTACATGATATGTTTCAGTACCTTGCAATGGAGGTGGAAGCACAGGTGAGATGAACACACTGTTTAGTTCATTCCTCAGATGTCTAGTAAATTAAAAACCATGATGTTTTATCATTTAAAAAACATAGTTTCATTTAATGTTATTTTTGTCCATATTTTAATTTAAATCTGTTTTCTACGTGAAATAAAAAAAAACAATTTCAGGGTGAAATGGTAGACCGGATTGAGGAGAACATTAAGAGTTCCCATAACTACGTGGAGAAAGCTGTTGCCGACACAGCTGCTGCTGTAGAAACTTCAAAAAAAGTGCACAAGGTGAGTAACTTATTAATATGATTATTTATCTATTGACACAATATCATTACATCATTGACCAGTGTGAATTATCACATTTCTTCTTCACAGAAAAAATTATGGATTGCCTTATGCCTTGCTATTTTAATTGTAATAATAGCCATTATCCTGGCTGTCAGTTTAGGTTGAGGTAAGTTCCATCAATTGTATTGAATTTGAATGTTAACTTTATGCAAGCTATTTAAAGGGATAGTTCACCCAAAATTGAACATTTACTCACCCTCAGGCCATCCAAGATGTAGGTGATTTTCTTTTCTTCAGTAGAACAGATTTTTAGCTGAAACCATGGTCCTTGGTGATTCATAACATGCAACTCAGTGGACACCCATTTCATTTTTGAGAATAAAAAAAATCATATCAAGGCACACCAAATTAACACCTGTGGCTCCTGATGATATACTGAGCTCTTATGAAGCGAAACAATCGGTCTGTACAAGAACCTGAACATTATTTACAACATTACCTGTAATCAATAGCCTCAGGCAACAGGGAAATCAATTCTTTTCCACAAATAGTTTTTTCAGACAGTTCGTTTCAATTAACTGGTTTAATTCAATAGTTCTTTTACATAATCACGCAAGGATGTAACACATACGCAATTGTATTATTAAAGCACCCATTAATCATTTGAAATGTGGATGTTTTACATGTCTAATGCATATACAGTGGCTAAACTTGTGTTCATCAGCTAAATAATTTTATTTCGCCCCTTCATACAAGTGCTTGGTTCATGCACACATCACCGGCTCATCAGTCCGAGTCAGAACTGTTTTCACATTTCAATGACTGTTTGAGGACTGGATCGCTGAATGAGTTGGCAAAAAAATCATAGAATCATATACACAGATATTTTGGCTGATTTCAAGTCGGAGTTGACTGTCAATCATGTCCAAAAGTGAGTTTTGATTGAGTAACTTGTAGATCTGTGCTGCTCAAACCACAAACTGTTTCAGACAGTTCTGTACAACCGGTTCAAAAGAATGATTTGTTTGCAAACTGGACATCACTCAGGACCATTTAACTGAGGCTATGGATTACAGGTAATAATGTTTTTAAAAAACATTTAGTTTCATGCACAGACTGATCATTTCGCTTCATAAGACCTCAAAATATTGTCAGGAGCCACAGGTATTAATTTTGTGTTCCTTGATATGCCTTTTTTTTTTTTTTTTTTTTGCAATGACAGGCAGCAACTGACTTGCATTTTATGAATCATCAAGGATCACCGTTTCAGCCAAAAATCTTCTTTACTGTTCTCCTGAAGAAAAAAAGTCCCCTACATCTTAATGACCTGAGGGTGAGTAAACAGCAAATTTTTGTTTTTGGGTGAACTATCCCTTTGTGCCCAAATGTGTTACAGTTCTGTCATTTTTATTCATAGTTATTTGATATTTAAATCATGTATCCATTTTCTTTACAGTTTTTTCCTTTATTAGATTTCTTGTTGCCCGTCAAGCACTGGGTTTTTTCTTCCTAAACTGTCTTCCTGAAGTCCCTCTAACAAACAACATCGCCATGTGTAAACATGACCATTATTGGTATCCCAACTGTTTTGGTAGCTACATTTGCTTAAATTTTTAATTGTTGATCTGTTGATTTAGCTGTTTTGTCCTATAATTTCCTGAAAATGTGTCTGCTGCACCACTTGGACATTTAAAAAGTTACATGGTAAAAACGGTTTGAATTAACTGATTGCTTTACTGACTGTATTTCCAAGATGGTGGACTTCATTTGCAACACCAACACTAAAACATGGTCATATAGGGTAGATGAAGAAGAAATGCTAATGATATTCCTAATATATAACGCTTCCATTCGGAGACAAGCTCAAGAACTCTGAGTGATGGGCTATTTGTCTTTGCCCTAATATGTTTATAAGATGTATTTTGTGTTATCTGTTGTGATTTATCCTTTTGTAATGCCATTTCAAACTTGAAATTCGCCAAAGCATTCATGGTCATCTGTATATATATATATATATATATATATATATATATATATATATATAACAACTAATTTTATACTCTGCTTTGCATTATAGTAACTACCTTTCAAAATACTACTTCTCTTGGTCACACAATGACATGTCGCATATGTATGTATATTTTAACTCATTTGTGCTCTGTCCCAGTAAAGACATGCACTTTTAAGAACTGATTATGTACAGTTACTTGTTTAGTGCCTCAACCTTGGTGCCTGTACTTGAGCAGTAATATATGGAGTACCCACTGTGTGGCACTATATATGTCGAGATCACCAAGAATGCAGTTTATTTGGTTTCAGTTTGCAGCCTGTAGCCATACTGCCACACATTTAATTCATTCTGATGTAAAATTGTAATTTTTAAATAAAGTACATATTATATATTTGATTGTTTTGTAATGTTTTTCTTGTCTTATCCTATTTTTTTTATAATTTTGATTTGAATTTTTTACCGTTCAAATACAACTGATTGGATGATATACAGTTGAAGTCAGAAGTTTACATACACTTTGCAGAATCTGCAAAATGTTAATTATTTTACCAAAATAAGAGGGATCATACACAATGCATGGTATTGTTTTTAGTACTGACGTGAATAAGATATTTCACATAAAATGTTTACATAGTCCACAAGAGAAAATAATAGTTGAATTTATACAAATGTGTTGTGATCTTAGTACCTGAATGATCCACAGCTTTTTTGTTGTTGTTGTTTTTTTTAGTGATAGGTGTTCTTGAGTCCCTTTGTTTGTCCTGAACCTGAACTGTTAAACTGCCTGCTGTTCTTCAAAAAAAAATCCTCAGGTCCCAGAAATTATTTGGTTTTCCAGCATTTTTGTGTATTTGAACTCTTTCCAACAATGACTGTATGATTTTGACATCCATCTTTTCACACTGAGGACAACTGAGGAACTCGTATGCAACTATTACATAAGGTTCAAACGCTCACTGATGCTCCAGAAGGAAAAACCATGAGACTGTAGTCTCGATCCTCATAACTTTGGATGACATAATACACGGGAATCCCCAGTAGTTTCATTTGGACAGTCATAGATGGCACCGACCTGCGCATAGAACTACATCTCCCAGATTGTGTTTACTAGTTTGCTCCCATTTATAGCAACTGCCGTGTATCTCTCGCCGCCTGTTCAACACGGTCTGGACTGCGACAGGAGGTTCAGGTAACATTTTATTTATGGAAGTTGTTTATTGTGAAAATATCACCATATTAACACGCCAAAGCGTTGGTTTGTCCAATGTTTTATACTGATTTGAAACTATAAAAAGTTTTCATTTTAAGATTGCAAGTCGTGTCGTGTTTACTTAAACACTTTTTTGTGTTTAAACAATATTTTATTATATACCCATGTAACAAAATCAAAATCTAGCACGTTGTCAGTCGAGTCGCTTTTGTTTGTCCTCGTTACGCCCTTACATAATGAAAGTGAAAGAATAACTCAACAACGGCAAAACCAAGCATAAAGAAGCTTTTGACTAAAATAATATTTTGGGGCATTGAAAGGTGACTGTGTCCCACATAAACACCGGGATGAATGACGGAACGGAGGAAGAGACGGCCCCCGTTATAATGGAGACTTCATCGTACTACTCGCAAGTAGTTTTCAACGATGTTCCTCCATCATATCCGCCAAACACCGCAGTTACGTGCCGGTACACCCTGACCGGTGCTGTGCAGCCCAACCCGAGCGACTGGATCGGTATCTATAAGGTGTGTAAGAAGTAACAGCATACACTATATTTCCTGTATTGCAGTGGTTCTCAAACCTGTTCTGGAGTACCCCCAGACCTGCACATTTTGTATGTCTCCCTCATCTATCACCTGATTCAAATCATCAGCTCATTAGTGGAGACTGCGTGACCTGGGTCGTTTCTCAATACCAAGTACGCAAAGCTCGGACTTCGCAAGTTCGACTCGGGAGGAACAGCGGCGTACTTGATAACGTCAGTCAGCTCGCCTTACTCCGGTTATCTACACTATAGCCTATATGTAGTAGGCTACACTATATGTATTTACATACGACAAAATATGATATCAAACACCACCGCCTCTTTTTGTTTTCATTTAAACATATTAATAGCCGCAAAAATGTGGTTCATGCAACGCGTACACGCATTCGTTTTCATTTTAAAAACATAAAACATTAATATATGGTTTAGGTAATATGTGCACATACTTTGATTATCTTCACTGTATGTATAATAAAATGAAATATGACAAGCACAACTCTGCCTTTTTTGTTAAATGTCAGTTTTAATGAACAATAATAGCCATTATAAAAGTATAAGTATAAAGTATAAGAGACTTATGTAATAGGAAATAAAGACAAAAGCAAACAATTCAGTCAAATGAATGCAACAAAGTCAGCGCTGTATTACGATTAATAAATAAATAATTTATGAAACAACTTTGTGCTCAGCCAAAACGATATGACCTGGAAGAAATAATAGATTCATGAGACCAAAGATATGATATACCCAAAACGGATTTTACCTCATGTTCAACCACTACAGAGACATCAGAGCCAGCGGCAAGAGTCAGAAAAACGTCTCAGGTTACTTATGTGACCATGGTGCCCTGAGTAGGGAACGAGACACTGCGTACTCTAGGGGTCGCTATGGGGAACGCCTCGTCGTGGCCCGTGTCTGAAGCATACATTGAAAAAACACCAACAACACGTTGGCCGGCGACAGCCCATGACGTCACTACTGGTGCGACTATTAGTACAAATAGGCTCCGGGAGAACATGTCATTCACTTCTTCGTCTGAAGCTTGCGTTCGAAGCATGGCAGGAAGCCTAGAGGACGCAGTGTCTCGTTCCCTACTCAGGGAACCATGGTTACATAAGTAACCTGAGATGTTCCCTTTCTAGGGAAGCTCTTGTAAATTACCTTTTTTGTTCGTTGTCTGTCATTTCGAAGCTTAAGTTGCATACGGTTTTCTTTAGTTTTAATTTGCCTAACTATCGATCTGACCCAGTAGACGCCATAATCCCACTCTGTCTCTCTCCCGTCCCGCTTTCCTTTTCTTTAATGGTGGGTGTTTACGCAGTTGGCTAGAGCAGTGGTGATTAGGGAGAACGGAGGTGCTCTCAATCTTGCCCAGGGCAAGTAAGAATGCAACTCAAGGCTGGCAGTCATGCATATGCTCTGGAACAGAGTAATATCGCGTCCCGATCGCAGGCTTTGCGATTAGCAAATCGCAACGTCTCAAATCGTGATTTCCATTCGATTTCGATTAATCGCACAGCCCTACTACATACCCAAACTTACCTGTTAGGGCCAGACTCCTGGGCCTGGGGTAGAACTCCAGGCTTGGAATCAAATGGATTCCTTTAAGGGGATACGACCAAGAGCCTAGTATCATACTCTTGTCTTGGCCTGTCACACAGGGGCTACCGCTTGCTCTTGCATAAGCTCTGAAAGGAACTGTCTCAACAGACCCCTAGTAGCAACACCCTGTTAAAGTAGGTATCCTAGGATACCTAGGTGGAGTGGCGCCCAAGGTAAACAGGGCTCTAACCAGCTCAAGAAAGGGCACGAAGCAACCGCGCGAAGCCCTGACTATATAGGATTTTAGAAAAGAACGCAAAGAACTAGCGTGCGAACTTACCACAATGTGGATTTTAGAAAGTGCACAAAGCCTTCACGTGCACACTTACCATAACATGGATTTTATGATACTGTTCTAAGGGGCTCTCATGGCACTCTGAAAGAGCAGCTCATAGATGGAATGGTGCATCCCAAAACCAATATGTTTGAGAATCACCAACTCGATCTAAGGCATAAAGCTGGATTGGCTAGCAGTAAATATCTAGCTGAGGGGGGGCAAACACCCAGCTCTCAAACGAGAGGGGAGCTCAACCTACCGCATGTTCCAATGCTGGAACAGCTAGCAATAATTTACTTCGCTGAGGGAGCATAGACCCAGCTCTCAACGAGAGAGGGGGCTCGCACAGCATGATCGTTAGAAATCAGAGGGTAAGTGTACTGCAAGCTATCCAAAAAACTGAGTGAAGAGCCTATGTTCATCTGATGCTGCTAGTTCCAGGTGCTCTGGGAAAAACAGAGAACTCAGCTCTCACGTGAGAGGAGAACTCCGAATTCAGAAAGAATAGCGCGCTCATAGGCAACCCTTTGGTAAAAGGGGATCACTGCTAATATTACCACGAGAGCAGCCCACGGAGCGAAC